GAGAGAGAGAGAGAGAGAGAGAGAGAGAGAGAGAGAGAGAGAGAGAGAGAGGACTGATTTTAATCTTGTCGGAAGTTTGGGCATTGATTAGGTGGGATTTCCGAGGCGACCCTGTTCAAAATGGCGAATGGCCCTTGAGCACACGTGCGCTGTGAGTACCTCCACCTCCCCACCAAGTTTCAACTCTGCTGTTACCAATCATGATAGTCCTCTCTCCTTCCTCTTTTCACCAGTTCTCCCACCACCACAGGTTTTGTCTTGGCTTCGCTTCCTTTGGAGGTTTCCAAGTTCACCCTGCATTTTTTTTGCAACCTCCAACTGCTTGCTGCCCACCCACCCACCCACCCACCCTTACCAGCCGCTGGTTAAGTATGCTCACTCTCAAAGGCTACTTCGTATGTGGAGTACGATTTGTTACATTGTGTGCTAATTATAATAATTACCTCAAATGTCGTACTTTCTTCCTCCGCCTGCCCCTTTTTCCCCCCCCCCCCCCCCCCCCCCCCCCCCCCCCCCCCCTGCCCCTGTAACGAAGCTCTTATCCATGCACAACTTGAATGCCCAGGAACGTTGTGTTCGGGCGGAGGAGGTAACTCTGTGTGCGATGAGTAAATCGTGGGGGTAATGGCGTAAATGACCAGATTTGAACTTTACGATCCTGTCAATGCTCACTGTCCACATGCTTTCTCGTGGCCAGATCTGAACTGCACAATACTCCATAGAGTCATCGACCCTGTGCAAGGATGGACCAGATACATGCGTTCTCACAAGCACTGCTATCCTACTCATGTGACTTCCCTCTCTCCCCGGTTCCAACGAATGCTATGATTGTTCCTCCATCATCCACTTTCTTTGCCCCTACATGTTGCTAGGCTACTTTCTTTCTTGTCCTTTCTCGCACATCTGCTGGCGGTTTACACCTGCAGTTTCCTCTTCTGCTGGTAACCCATCAGGAGGGGAGGGGAGGAGGAGTAGAAGGAGGAGGAGGAGGAGGGTAGGAAGGAGGGAGCGGTTTCCTCCATCAGTGGGATACAGGCTCATACAGCGATAAGGAGTTTCCTCCACCAGTGATACCCCTCCGGTTTCGGGCTGGCGATTTACACCCTTGCAGTTACCCCTATCGTCTTCCCCTGGATAGAATGTATGGTCATTATCACTGTATTTAGACTGGAAGTGGCCCCAAGTACAGGTTTAGTGACCATATGACGTACGTTCCATTCAGGGGAAGATGGTATGGTTCCCTCAGGTGGCCGGTCGACGCCTGTCGCATACCATAACGGTACAGACCAGAACAAGAACCGACCTCTCTCACATAGTACAAGATAGCGCAGCGGAAGGCTAAGATACCAATGATCAACCCAATCAATGTCGCAATGCAGACCCAACATACTTCATCATCATTGCAAGGTGTGAAGGGCCTGGCGCTACACACAGGAAGAATGCGCCAGGTCCAGACCATACACAGACGAAGAGGAGGGGATCAGACGAAGAAGAGGGGGGAGATGGGAATGTTGTCAACACCAAGTCTTTGGCACAGGTCCCAAATAGTCCCTCGACAAGTGTCTCAATCCCAATGTCGAGTCTGGATCCAAATGTCGTCAAGTCCCAAGGTCACCAATCTCTCTCTCTCTCATAGTCTGTGGATACTGAGAGGTCAGGTAGTGAGAGGGTGAGGGAGAGATGGTGGACTTAGAAGAGGAAGAAGAAGAACTCTCTCTCTCTCTCTCTCTCTCTCTCTCTCTCTCTCT